AAATGTTTTAAATCTATTACTTTCATATCTTCTAAAGCTATTTCCCCAAGTTCTGAAGCGACAAGGAATAGATCCCTTTTCTTAGCTTTTCCCAAAAATGCCATTTTCGCAAAAGTAATTTTTCAAAACAAATAAGAACTCAAATAGTTATTCACAAATAATACACATAAAAATATATCAGAGATATAAAAAACACTTTCTTCTTTCTTACAAAATTAGGCAAATAAAAATAAAAGGTTAATAAAAGCATTAATCATTTGGATTTATTTCCATTCAAACATAAAACGAATAAACAACCTTACTGAATACTTCGTATAAAAAAAAAAATAACAAATTTCTTTTCATTTAGTACAGCCAGACAGAAAAAAAAAAACCAGAGTGGCGCCAATAAATATAAACACCTTTAATTAACTATCGTTTTCATGACAGCTACTTCCGTTGCAACCACATGGCCAACGCAAATACTACGTAAATTCGATAGGCGCAGGTTTAAATCAGAACACTATTAGAACTTTTCTTTACTGCTCAAAGCTTTTTAAATGTAAAATGAAATGATAAAATTTAACATTCTACTTATCAGAAAATACACATCATATTAAAATACAGCACTGGTGTGCTTTCATGAGAAAACCAAAAGTAACAAGTTTTTAATATATTCAACAACTTATTTCTTTCACAAGAATTTAACATAAATTTTCTTCTAATGACTTAGAAATGAAAATTGCAATATTGCACTGATGTGCTTTCACATATACACAAAATAAAACAGTTCAGATTCTATCACACTAATTTATAGCGAAACGTTAAACATAAATACACTGATGTGCTGTTTATTTATGGGAATGGATTTTCGCCATTATCATAGAAAAGAAAAATATCTCGTTAGATATATAAATGCAACACATTGATTGTTTAAAAAAAAAAAACTCTTATGCACTGACGTGCTATAAAATGCACTGATGTGCTACGTGTTAATGGGAAAATGTTTTCCCGAATGTACCACAAAAGGAAAATATCTTGTTAGATATACTATAAACCAAACACATTGAGTGTTTTTTAAAACTCTTATGCACTGATGTGCTACTTCTGCTTTGGGAATTGATTTCCCGAATAAGTAATAAATAACTACATTATACACTTCAGGCCTGGAAATGAATATTGTGGAGAACACATACCTGGTCTCTTGTCACACAAATCTCGGTGGAACCTCCAAATTTTTTATTTCTTTTCGTCTGTGACGTCGTGGATGCTTCAGTGGGAACAACACTGGTAGTGGTGATCCATCACTTTTATTAACACAACGTAACACAGATACAACATTTAATTAATACATTTAGAAAAACTTGAGTAGTACATATCCGAGTTGGTGACACGATCAGAGACGTTAACGAAGATAGCACTCGTCATCACTGGACAAATTTAGTCTCCACACCTCAGCTCGCTGGCGGAGCTTCCCAAACTCTTCTCTGACAGGCGTCTCAACAGAAGTCTCATCTCTTTACGCATGCGTAATTCTCAGTTAAGTCGTTGCCATTCACAGTTCTTTAAATAAGGTGTTAAAATGAATTATAGTACTCGTAGTGTGAGGAGTTTGCTAACGACGTTCTCTCTAGTCAAGAGCATCATAGGTCTTTCTAGTAGAGTTCAGAGCGTTCTTTACAGTATCATTGATATTTTTCCTTTTGCTCATTTTGCATAAAGATGAAATGTTCTGTAATGTCTGAAAAGGGTACCATAATTGCTTGATGTTACGATTTGTAAGTAACTTTTAATACTAGAATTACTGATGATTAACATACTGTTTTTACCAAGGAGAAAAATTCATCATTCTGCGATATTGGTATTACAGTGCCATATTTTTTTTCTTTATAGACTATTCTTAAATGGTATTAAAAAATAAAATTACCAACAATAATTGGCACAAAGTAACTATAGTTATAAATAGAACAATTTCCTTTAGCTACTAATAAATGAATTTAAAAAAAAATTTTTTTTTTTTTTTTTTTTCATTTGAAGTTTTGTTTGAACTTTAGAACCATAATATTACATGTTTTATTTATTTTTGCTGCTAGTTTTTTGGTTTCTTTAGCATTTCCTTCCATAGGAGATAAGTATTCTTACTCATTGAGCTAGGATAACTGAATACCTGGAAACTAATTATATTTGGTAAATTTAAAAATTAATTTATTGAATTAATGAGATTCATCAGAAATTTCTACAATTTAAACATGTGGGATAACTTTAAAAAGTATTCTTGTCTACTGTCCTATTTATGTTCATCTATTTAAAATGATCACATTTCATGCTGATGTTTATACTTGAAAATAAAAATAATTGAACTTTTAAAATTTGCATTTTTTGCTTATTGGTATATGTCAGTAAAACTTTTATTTCTTCATTTTGTATTTGAATAATAATTCTGTATATAATTTTTTATAAAATTCAAAATTCCCGAGTGCAAAAGGATATAATCATTAATGTCTACTCTTATTGCCAAAGAGAAAGGTTTTTCTACAAAGACATAAAAATCAAGAGAAACATGAAAAAGGCAAAGCCATTGTTCTCATTTGCAACAACGAAGCGGCACACGTAATAAAAGCTTAGCTTAAAGTTTTAGAGTTTGTCAATAATTAATAGGTTTAAACAGCAAGTAGATTTCTATCATTGAGGAATCAAACATTAAAAAAAAAAAAAAAAAAAAAAAAAAAAAAAAAAAAAAAAGCATTTCAGACTGCCATTAACACAGACTGGACTATTATATTGAAAAACAGCACATGATGTTTCAACCTAAAACAATCAAAAGCAACTTTCTTTTTATTATTAAACTATCATTTAGAATATTTTTCATAAATTAATTGTATTCCGTATATCAATAATAGGTTGTATAAAAAGTTCAAAATTACTTAAATAGACAGATATTTAAAACCAGATAAAATGGATTAGGTTGGATTAGGTTTTATAAAATTGCTTTACACATTTTAAGGAATCTTACAAGAATCCTTGTCTTCAGTGAGCAAAAGCAAACTAGACTGTTTTTCCAAAAATACATCACTTAAGCTAATAAAGAATGTAGACGGAAAGGCATGTAAAGGGGGGAGGAGATAAAAGGAAGAAGCGGGAAGGAGTACTGAGTGTTTTAGTTTTGAAAAAGAATGATAATTCTTCAAAAATTATAAAAAGAACATAGAAGTCATAAACTTGCTTTTTTCTCAAAATTATGCTCATCAAGTTTGCATAACATATGAAATTAATTAGAAACAATAAAATTATTAAAATACAACTACAACTTGATGAAAACTACAACTTGATATAACAATAAAACAATAACAATAAAACTACAACTTGATGAAACTTATTTTGAAAATGGTTTGAAATCAATGGGCACGAGGTTTGAAAAATAACATTTATATAGGAAAGATGAAATGAAATGTTTAGCATGACAAATTTCATGTCATGCTAAATACTCGGGAATTTTGAATTTTTTATAGTATAAATTGCAGTTTTTTTTTTTTGGCATCAAATATATGGTATTCAAAATTTATAGTAAGAGTGCTGTAATTTTTCTCTTTTGAAGAGGAAATAATGCTGCTTGCTGCGTTATAAAGTACAGAATTTCAGAATTGTACCCCCCCCCAAATGAAACTGTCTCAGAAATATTGTGGGCTGCTGCTTAAAAATGACAATCAATTTGTAATGTTCTCTGAAATTAGTTCTGGCAAATATTGTTTAATAGTGAACAATATTTGGATACTAGTTTTCTTTTTTCTCTAATATGTCACACATGTTCATGTAATCAAGAAATTTAAGGGGAAAAAAAAAGTTGGTGTAGTGTCCACATTAGTTTTTTATGAAATAAAAAATATGCAGAATTGTTTATGTTAGTGCAAGAAAAAGACTAAGCTATCATTATAGATTGCTATAGGAATTGTTAGCCTGAGCAAGTGTATTCCAGGATATCATTAATTTATCTCAAATGCAACTTCATATAATAGATGATTTACATCTTACTGAAGGAGGGAGAACATTCTGTGACAGTGAAACCATTTGTGTTTGTACACAAGGAATAAATTTACTGCTGAATTTACATACTTTCTACTTATTTTAACCCTCTCAGCGTTGCGGCTGGAAAATTCAGCATAGAAGGCTGCCTTCTGTATTCATTATACATGAAAATATCTGCTAGTTTTTAATGTATCTGATTTCGGTTTGGATGTATATTTGAAGAAAATTAATCAAAGTACAAAATCAGAGAGTCATTTTTTAATTAAAATCAAGAAAATACCACTTATTCATGACAGTTTGAGGAACTTTGAAATTTCAGGGCTAAACCTGTAACGCTTGGTGGGTTAAAGAAAACTCAAACTGTCATTATATATATCGGAATCTTGAACCTAATATTGGTAAATAAAGGTGCCTGTCAGCAATAATATTGCTATAGATATTATCACTTAATTTAACTATGTTAGATCAGTTCATCTAGCCTACTAGCAACCGAGTGGTGACATTGCTGAATACTGGTTGTTAGATCTGGATTCTACCAACAGGCTGATTACTTGGATTTGGTTTATGTGACTAGGGCAAAGCCTTGAGAGCTATCTGCCAAAGGGAAGGGATGCCTTCGTGGAGGACTTTCTAAGGAACTAGAAAGACTAGAGACTTTTTTCTAAGGAAAACTGACTTGTATACACATTACACATGGGGAAAACCACTAATTGCTTGGGAATTTTCATGGTTTTTCACATAAGCCAATTTTCCTTAGATAACACCCTTCACAAAAAAATTCCACTCCTTCCTCATGTGCTTTGCTATAATTCAAATAACACCTACAAATATAGGTCATCTAACATTGTTTGAAAAATATGGACAAAAATTGGTTTGTATGTAATTAATAGTAATAATATTTAAGCAGAATTACAATAAATTTGTGCATTTGATTAATATTTGTTGAATTTTTTGTGTACATAACTTTTCAAATCTTTTTTTTTTTTTTTTTTTGGCAGTCTGTTACTTTTAGGAAAACAAGCAGGAATTTGGCTCGCTCAATGTGTATAAAAAATGTGAAAATAACTGTGATTACAATACTTGTAATGATAGTAAGTAAATACAGACCATTAAAAAAAATTCTATATAGGTAGATTATTACAAGTTAGGATATTTAATCTATTTAAAACATTCATAGTATTAAGTGTTTTATTTGTAATACTGCAAAGTTGGTAAAAGTATTCTTTAAGATTAATTCCTAAGATTTTTCAAGACAAATTTAAAAAATGATTTTTTAGTTTGTTGTTCTTTTATTGCACAAGTAGAAAAATGAATTAGGCTATTTATATACTTCTATTATCAGTATAGTTTTAGTTTGTCATTTTTTTATTACAAGAATAGTGATTACAAGAGTAAATGAATTAGGGTATTTATATACTTCTATTAGCAGTATGCTAACAAGTTCTTTATTGCTCACTATTTTGTCATTTTTCAGAATTTATAAATTTTTATGGAGATTCAAAGTTTTGTTCTCTTTATAATAATTTGAATATATGCAGCTTAATAAGAATATTATGAGAATTTTGAAAATTTTTTGTGAAGTTTTTAAATTTTTAAAGATTGGTTTTTTAAAGTTATATACAAGTTAATTTAGTGATTTTTTTACATCGTATATACTTTAGATATTCAGGCAAAGTTAATGACATTAAAGAGCATGATGGCATTTTTAAATTCAGTTTTATATCTGTGGACGTAATAAATGCAAGATACTCGATTAAAAAGTTTTACATTTAAGTCTGCCATATTATGAATGGGGGGAAATCATTATTGCATAGTCTCTTTTAAGTATTAATAATGAATACATAATTTAAATACAATACACGCTGGTATACATAATTTAAACTTAATAAAAGGTACTCTTATTACAGCAACCCCAAAATTTAATCACTAATTAACATAGATGTAATGTGTAGCGAGATTTCGGTTGAACAGCTGTTCTATCCGCTATTATTAGAACATTATTGGGAGGTACCTAATAACGTTTTAAGTAAAATATATTTTTCTTATTTATAGGTAAAAGTATTTTTCATTCATATGAATATTGATACATTTCTGTTTCAGGTAATACTTTATATCATAGTTTCTGCCTCATGTGGAGGTTTAGCCTGGCCAAGCTGTGTTTAATGTTAGTTTCAATCTTGTAATATTATATACTGAATAAGATGTTATACTGCTGAAGAAATCTGAAATTTTTAAAAATATTAAATTGCTTTTTAAGAAAATCAATGTAAATACAGTTCTGTGTTTGTCAAGATGTTTGCTTGTAAAAAAAACTATTTAAATCTCCATTTAAAAGTGAAATATATATAAGTTTAAATTCATTATCTCTGCAATTATGTATATGATACAGAAGTTTCATAATGCTATTTTTATAGTTTTGTGTTGAGAGTAATAATGTATATATCTATATATATATCTTGAACTGTCATTTTTACTTCTATCATATACTAACACTTGGTTACCATAAGCCTGCATTTTTTTTTTTGGCTCACTTTTATGAGCAGTAGCATAAAAGAATAATCTGGCATATAAAATGAAGTAAAATATATTCTCTTCTGTATTTAAGAAAACTTCCATTTCAACATAACAGAGCTAAAGAAATTATTCAATGTTTTCATTTAATATATAAAATAAGTGTATGTTTATTATATTCAACTTTTAATAATCCTTACAAATCCTGAGTTAAAATGATTCTCATTCCAAGTAACTTTTTAATTGTGTAAATAAAATCATGTATATTATGTAATAAAATTTTTTTAATAAAAATCTGTTCATTTTCTGTAAATTTGACTATCAAGATAGAAATGATTCCTATCAAATTAATTAAATCAAACTTGATTTCTATTTTAAATTCTTTTACACCTTCATGACATTAAAATTACACTAAAAAGGAATTTCTTCTGAATTAGGTTCTAAATGTTTCATTATTTGAAAGAATATTTTAATATTAGCCAGACATTAGCTTATTTTCATCACAGTTTACAGTTCCAGGTATATCATGTCATTCTGTGTAGCAAAATTTATCTCCTTCAATCATATTTCCATATTAACTTGAAATTCATAAATTAAAAAATTTCTTGATGAAGTAAGACTTGCAGACCTTTCAGCCTTCTGAAAAAGATTAAGGAACTGAAAAACAATTTTGTGCAAGACGATTTGCATTTAAGAGTAACTGAATATATGTATGAAATATCCACGTTTTTTTAAAAAAAGGTAGTTTAGTAAAAAATTAGGTCAAAGGCCCATGTTTTAATTTTTATATTTCTGTAACAAGAAATCAGTTGGATCATATATTAAAAAAAATCAGCATGATCAAAGTATAAAATCTTTATCTTTTTTTATATAAACAAGGATTTAGAGAAATACTAGGCACAGCTCCTTTTTTTATCTTCCTTTTTACTTTCTTAAAATCAAGAAAAACAAACATCTTGTACTCAGTAATCTGAAATTAAAAGAAAAAAAATCAATGTTATTACTAGTTTTACTAGTTTAAATAGCATTTATCAATCATGGATAATGGAACTATTTTGAGTTTTCATTACATACTACTGCAGTCACTAGTACATTTCATAATCACTTCACTCAGTTGAACATGTGTAGTGAACTCCAAGAAACTATAATAATCTCACAACTGTTACTATATCTATACCAAGTTAAATCTGTATCCTAGATGAATATACAAAGATTACACTAGTGACTTTTTTTACTTATTAGAATTTTAGCACTGGAAAATTTATCTTACATTTAAACTCATTCCATTTTAATGCTCTAAGGAACATGAAATCGCACACAGAAAGATGGATGACTTTTCATTTCCTTTCATAATATGTATATATGCATTTGGTGAAACTTTAGTGGTTCAAAGTCAAACTTGTAATACTCAGAAAGGGGGTTTACTAATCTGCATGTCTAAAAAACATTCAGTAAATATTATTAGAAAACAAAATTATAAATTATGAACAAACTGCATTTATTGGCCTTCAATGTAATTGCAGTCTGCTGTAATAAAATTTTGACAATGTTCATAAAACTCCCAAAATTATCAGTCTATTAGGAATAGATTTCAGAATTGCTCACTGTCTTGCATGTTGCTATAGGAATGCAGTCAACTTTAAACCTTCAAAAAGCAGCTACCATTTGTTTTGTCTTTCATTCTGCTTTAGAGCTTTGGTTAAAGAGAATGCTGTTTGATTAGGAAGAGGTTAAAGGTGATGAACATCCCAGTCGATCTGCGAGTTCAAGAACTGAAGCAGATTTTCAAAAAGTTAATGAAATAGTGCGAAAGACCGACATCTTAGCATTTGGGTAATCACAGACATGGTTACCAAAGAGTAAGACAAATTTTGCATGATGAGTTAAACATGACAAAAGTTTGTTCAAAAATGGTTCCAAGAAACCTCTTTTCAGGAACAAAAAGACAATCGGAAGAACATTTCTCTGATATCCTGGAACAACTCAACAAAGAACCAGACTTGCTCACATGCCATGAAACGTGGATCTTCCAGTGCAACTTGGAAAAAAAGCATCTGTTGAGATACTGGACAAGTCCCATATCACCATGAATGAAAAAAAGCACGACTGAAGGCAATGCTGTTTTTTTTTTTTGATATTAGGGGTGTTAAGACTACATGGATGCCTGAGTGTCACACCATTGATATGAAATACTACAAAGAAGTCCTAATAAATTTGAGGCAAAAAATATGAAAGACAAGATTTGTGGAAGAATAACACAGGGATTCTGCATGAGAACAATGCACCAGCCAAAATGTCCCACTTGTGAAAAGTTTTTAGCAGACAAGTGCATTTTTGTAATGGAACATTCTCCGTATTCACCAGATCTGTCTCCCTGTAACTTTTATCTGAATGTGAAAAATGTATTGTAGGGATCACATTTTCAGTTTGTTGAGGTAAAAGCAAAAATGGCTGAATTCTTGAAAAAGTGACAATGAATGACCGACAGCACTGTTTGAACAACATAAGGCACATTACATAACTGCATGTATGCAGTGGTGGGATGAGAAAGTATTGAAGGGGACAAAAGTTAGTCGTAGCTTTGTTTGCAATAAATCACATTTCTGATACCAGTTTCATTTAATCGCCACACCTCATATGTTGGAATGCCTGCAGTTTTTCCTGATGTGCATATGTATATCATGCTTGCGTCACATCTCAACATGTCTCTGGATACTATGCATGCCTGGGTCATACTGTTGTTAAGACCTTATATCATTCATCAAAGCTTTTATATACTTCATGCATATGTATCGTAACTTAATTCATTTACTATGACATACTTCTTGAAATGCTAAATAATTTTCTGGAGATTGATAAAGGTAAAGAGAGAGTGCAATTGTATTGCAATAATTTCTTACTATAGGTGCTAACTGCTGCAATTTCACTATGACTGTACCTATAACTGTATAAGTATAGCTGCTGACAGCTTGTGCATGCTGACCTTTATAGCAGTGTTTCTATTCAACTTTCTTATTATTATGTTTGTAAAGTAATAATGTGTATGTAGGTAAATATAATTTTTTCAATTGTAATTGCCTGTGCTGATGAAGACAATTCTCAGGGATAATTATTTAGGAAGTTCTGTAGCACTTTTCTTCAGTGTTAGTCTATAAATTTTGTTATAATCAAGGAAGTATCCAACATGTAGTGAACTGAATGTCCTGAACATAAGTAATATATGGAATGTCTAATTTAAAAAAGGTCATCATAGTAACACAGCAAGTGTATGCACACAAAAGAAAATTTATATATGAGATAAATCTCAGAAACAGTGCAGGATTTGGAGATCAATATAATACAGGAATTGGAGAACCACTGCAAAAAATATACAGTCAAAAGTCTTTAATCCAGACTCGTTGGGACTTTGGCGATTCCGGATTATAGATCATCAGTTTAAATCTGGTAAGATGGCATGCAGAAATTATAAAATTAAAAATATGAAACCGTAATTTATGAAATAAGAGCATTATGATCTAAAAAGTATCAAAATTTACAAAAAAAAAAAAAAAAACTTTATATTTATTTGTTTACTTTATTAAACATTTCTTTCAATGCGTGCATGCATAAAGCATACATTACGCATAGTCGAAATTAGAAAATTGCAACCAGAAAACTATTTGATGCGTACTCGTGATATTTATAACGATCAGGAATTTGATTTAAATCATATCAAAGACTGAATACATCGAGATGAAATACTACATTTAGTAAGGAATTATAAGCTGAATAAAATAAAAACATCTCCCTTGAAGATAAGGTTACACTGACAGATCAACTTCAAGATCATTGCGCGCTGCAATGTTCTCCCCCCCCCCCACAGAGCAGCGTGAAATTGATAAACAGATTTCAGAATGGTTAGAGAAACAAAGGATATGCCTTTATCCACTTTTTGTTTAATGGAGTTCGAAACATACTTTCACTTTGTAAATCCTTTACATATTGAATATATATCGGAAATTCTATTTAACATAATCGAAAGTTCAAGCTTACTTTTATAAAACTGCTCTAACAGTCTGCAAAAAATAAAGCCGGATCCAATTCGAAGATTAAGGAACAACGCAATCTACAACATTAACTGAAATAGATAATTAGATAATTTTAGCTTAGCTTATACCATCCGTTATACATTAAACGCGTATGCGTAAACGTATTTTGGGCCTGCGCAACATGCATATTCGCAGCCGTAAAGGTCTTACGTGCATGCATCAACGCGACGCATGCACAGAAAGTTAGTAGCTTTGAAGTCCGGATTATGGGTGTCCGAATTAACGACTTTTAACTGTATTTCCTGTTCCCCAAGAGGAGTATTTTGAATATTCTGATAATGGTTGAAATTTTATCTTTTCAGACCCTAGATATCAAAATCCTCAGTTTTATGAGTTTCCTAAAAATTTGAGTTCTCACAACCTGCAGGGTTTCTTTGTTTCTTGAAGAGAAAAATCACTCCTATATTTACATATGTATTTTATAACTGAATATAACTACTCAGGCACCACAAATTAGAAAAGGTTATCTATTTTAAGAAAAGAAACATTTTATCTTTCTACTAAAGTTGCCTAAGATGAGAAAAACTTCATAAATTTCTAAAGTTATAAAATTTTATAATAAATAAAATATTAATATCAGATTGAAAATAGTTCACATATATACTGAAATTGCTGCACTTCATTTAAACTTATTTCCTCGAATTATTCAAACTTAATTAACAGGTCCCTCAAGGCAAGTTGAAAATAACATAAATAATTACAAATTTTGAAATTAAAATTCTCGGTTAGTTTTGTCAAACTTTCCTAAATATAAGTATAGAAATCAGAAGACCGAATTAAAAGCTAGATTTTGTTATGTGTCCAATATATATATATATATTTAAAAATTTGACACTGCCAAAACATGAATATTTTTGTCATTTAAAATACTTCAATAATTGGAAGTATATGACTAAACTAACAACTGTGAAAATAAAGGCAGTGTAAGGAGGGTGGATATATATATATATGTGATAAAAACTTGGAGACTGTTGCATAATTAGAAAGATGACACTTGAAGGAGACTGGTAGACCGACATGGCTGACTGAACATAATCTTTATTGCTGGACATGAAAATTATTGAAAACATATTTTTCATCACACATGGTCATGGGCATAACACGTAGGTCACAATTTTATATAAAGTATCGCATTTTTAATAATGGCGTATTTAGCAGTATGACAAAGCACAAGCGAAATGAAAGCTGCTACAGAGCTGCAAACTAACTGCACATTTAAATCCAATCTGGCAGTGTGTTAAGAGAAAGGTTTTGGTCTAAGTTAGAAAAGTTTCTGTTCCCAAGAGTTACATCAAGAGCATTGCACAGGACATGCAAGATGGAATAATCTATAAATGATGCAATCCAGAGAAGTTATTACAATTTTTAGAACAGACAGGGAGAATTAAGGGGTTTCCTGTTAGTTTAAATTATTTTGATTTACATATTTTTTAATCTTACACACACATACATATATATATATTTAGTACTGCCAATTGCAATAAAAAAGGGAGGTGTACAACTAGATGTTATAGCAGTTCCGTGTAAAAAATTTCAATGTTCTATGGCTAATTGTTGAGTTATGCATGACATATACAGATATCATGAAAAAATCCATTTTAAGATCTGTTTTGGAATAAAAGAGTGCTTTATTGTGTCCATATGGACAGATAGCACTGAGAAAACTACTTTAAAATGGATATTTCAGTTGAAATCCGATAACAGAAATTTTTCACGATTACAACATTTCCTTTACTTTGGACAAGGAAGTAATAATATTATGATAGTTGCTTGTATTACACATGACTACTTTTCACTTGTTATGTTCTTATTACGACTGGGCTCTTCAGAAATTAAATTATTCAGATAATTTGCTACCCTCAATTTTTGGATGATGAAATTTGTGAAAAAAAGAAGGAAATACAGTATATAATTTATTTTTATTACTGAATTTAGCTAATTTTACAGTAGCAACCATGTTAGATAGTTTCAAATTTCCTTTAAGAATTAGAGTCAAATTTATTTAATTAGAATTTAAATTAGAGTCAAATTTCCTTTAAGAATTTTTTCAGCTTCAAGTTAACAAAGCTTTTATCAGGCTTTATAAAATTAAATGTTATATTGGGTGAGCAATAAATTATTCTTTTTAAGCTCAAGAAGCAAGATGCAGAATTTGGATTAAACAGCAGTAAAAAAAAAGGGACTGATGAAAAAATATATTAGAAATGACATCAGTGCAGATTTTAATCGTGTAATTACATTTCCTTTCAGTAAAGAGCTAATTTTTGCAATAAAAGACAAATCCTTTAAAGGTAGTAAAGGCAAAAAAATCTGTAAATACTATGCATTTGAATATTAATATACATGATTTTAATAAAAAGCTTTACTCTAAGAAGTTGGGAAATCTTAAATGAATGGTCTGGACATATGAGACAGTTTCACACATCTGAAACATAAACTATCCATATCATCACAAAAATCATGTTCAGACACAATACCAGAATTCTGTAACATTACCTGCTCCACAAATGGTGGATTGTAATCAAACAGATATAAATACATAATCAGGAATAACATCCTAACCCTTGGGAATCTTATTTACATGCAAAAACCTAAAATCAAGAGTTTTTTCCTCTTTATAGAATAAATTAAACCTCTTACTATATTTACTGAATCAAATATTTTCTAAACTTATGAAAGAAATCAATCATTTTATTTCAAATTAAATCTTAATAATACTTTATACAGAAACACAAGAGTTTAGAATTTTGAAAATTAAGATTATTAATTACGCTGTATGCTATAAAATTAGTTTAATTTAATTTAATTAATATTATCTTTTGATATATATACGGAAATGTCAAAATGTTTTAATTATTATCATCGATACAAAAAAGTTAAAAACTTGGAGAAATTCTGTATCAATATAAATGTATTTTGCTGCATTTGTCAAAAAGCTTACTTTGCATTCTAATGAAAATCCCATACATTTCAGACATTTTATAAACTTGTCAAGATCATCAATTCTGCTTTCAACTTCTGCTATTTTTAAAATGCCACTGAAAAAATTAAATTTTATTAAAATAAGATGAAGGTATAAAGATCCTACAAACACAAAATAGTAGTTAAAGAAAATAATTACCATATGTTTCTAAAACAATACAGCAATGCAGAGATAAAGAAAAATTCAGGAATAAATTTCAGAGAAATTAACTAGAAAATAATCTTTTTACCTTTCTTTCAATATTCTATGACCTTCAAATAGATAGTCTTTAAAGTTTGTGCCCATAAGTGATAAACAAAACACTACAACATCTACACTTTCATTTGACAAAGGTACCTGGGAGAAAAAAAGGAGGGAATATTAACTTTCCCCCCCAGAACAGCTTTTCAAATTTGTGATAAAAAATGAGCATTTGTGATAGAGAACATAAATCAGTTTATGAACATTACTATATTTAATACAAATATACATACTATACAAAGACTAACTGGTACTTAAGTATTTTTCCATCAACCGTTTTTGGTAAATAAATACTGTTACAAAAGAGTGTAGTTTAACACACCAAAAATGAATGACATCACAACACAGTCATAATATTTCCTCACTTTGAATTTTTGTAACCATGATCCTCAATAAGTCAGTTGAGACATTATAAAGAAGGATGCGGATTAACAGCTATTTCTCTGTTTTTCCCTCCTTTGCATTTTGAAATAACTATTATTTTCAAAGAGAAGGTGCTGATTATAGTACCTGCATGCATTCTTGAAAGACTGAAAGAATATATGTGGACCAGCAAAATAGTGCAGTATCCTGCAGAACTGCAAGGCACAAATTAGTTTTCTGTTTAAGCAAATATATGTGGAACTGAGTTAAAAAAGAAGGTGATAATTTTGTTGCTGTTTTAAAGGCATTACAGGTTTTCAGCAGCTGGAATGACTGGCATTAACTTTAATGAATATGTCAAGCAATCTAGAAACTTGAGCTAATATTATGTTTTAATGTGCTATCTTGAATAGCTTACATCTGGCGATTATTTGCTTACACAAAGAGCAATCTGTGATTATGTAAATGAGCAGAGAACAATCTGTTCCTTCAAACTTACAACCATATGTTTGGCAAGATTTTCACCAACTTACACAATTGATGAGAAAACATATAAATATAAAACATTTTCATGGTAAATTAAAATATATGGTCAATTACATCTACAGAGTGGTTATACACTGGTTATAATAAATTAAGGAAAAATCACAAAAATAGCAATAACTCCCTCAAAAATAAGCCAAACCATGTAAAATTTTAATATGTTGCCAAGTAAGAGTAGCTGAGTAAAACTGCAATATGCAAATTAGTGGCGCGGCTTTCGGAATACGTCATCTGCGAGGAGCATAAAAGTCAATGTTTGAGAGCAAGCCTACATATTTCACTGTGACAGTGACATCAGAAATCTGAGATAGCCAATTCGTCACTATGACCTCCAGGCATTATTTGCCTGCAGAACTGCTATGGAGAGCCATTGGGAGACTAGAGGCAGGATAAAGTCAAACAGAAGTTGGCCAGATGGCTAAATGTGAGTCCTTCTGTGTTCATATACTTTGGAGGCAATTTTAAACCACAGATTCGGCATCTAGGAAGTTCAGCCAAGGACGGCCAACTGCTACAACGAGTGCCGATGACCGATATTTGACATTATGTGCATGCAGGAATAGAACTGCTACCCCGACTCTTCTCAGATCCTCCCTTGCTGCAGCCACCGGGAGGTTTGTGTCAACGTCAACTGTGCGTAGAAGGCTTCATGAAGTTGGTCTGTATGCGAGGCGACCAGCCATTTGTGTGCCGCCCACGTCACGCAATAGGAGGGACTGTTTTCAGTAGGCATGACAACATGTCCACTGGATGCCTGATCAATGGAGGGCAGGTTCTATTTACGGATGAGTCCAGGTTTAATCTAGAAAGCTATAGTAGGCATTTTTTGATATGGAGAGAACCTAGAACTCGTTATCATACATCAAACATCCCTGAAAGAGATGGATATGGAAGGGGCAGAATCTCTTTGGGTGGACGCACAGACATTCATGTCTTTCCAAGGGGAACCGTGAATGCTCAGATTTATAGAGATGACATCCTTGATGTTTATGTGTGCCCATATGCCGGGGCAATAGGTGATGCTTTCCTGTTACAGGACGGCAATGCAAGACCGCACAGGACTCGCATTGTAGATGATTATCTTCAGCAGGAAACAATTATGTGCATGGAGTGGCCAGCTCGATCCCCGGACTTGAATCCTATCGAGCACGTTTGGGATGCTTTAGGGATACGTCTAGCTGCTCTCAATACGCCCCCTCATAGCCTTGTCGCGCTTGCAACTGCTTTGCAAGAGCAATGGCTCTCGCTTCCTATGGAACTGATAGACTGCATAATTGAAAGCATCACACATCGCTGTATGTGCTGTATTGCTTCTAGAGGCGATCATATTCCATATGGAAGTACTTTTCCTATAGCCAAACTGACACCTTCGATTTGTTCATTTTATACATGTGCTAATTTCTATACTACCATATTTGTCTGGTAATTTCTTTTTATGTTATTTGATACCTTACTATGTGTTGTATATTGTGGGTAAGTTTCATTAAATTCTACATGTAACTTTTTCAGTAATCGTGATTTTTCCTTAATTTATGATAACCAGTGTAATTAAAGCGATCCTATTCAGACCCCTATAGAACCCGTTCTGCCTACTGGATTTTGATGAAACTTGGTATATATGTTATATGGACTATGGAGAAAAGATTTCTGCAATAAAAAATAGTTCAAATTTTGACCACCAGATGGCAATTTTCAAAAATTCCTTATGCAAATTAGTCAAACCTATAAAGAGACTTGCAGTTAGAGCCAGAAAATCATTCTGTGGGCATTTCTCATCATTAATCATGCCCTTACAGAAGAAAGATTGAGCTTTGCTGGCAAAACTGTTTCAACAGAACGACAGCATTGCATGAATATCGTCGTTTAAAGGGATTGAGAAAAGGGCCCATGTCGAAGAATGGTTTGAAGAAGATGATTATGAAATTTGAAGAGACTGGTGACTTCGATGTGCTGCCAGAAAGAGGGCGGAAACTGATTGCAAATGAAACTGTCAATGGTATCCGTATAAGATCCACTTAGTGCAAATGCTGCAACCTCAAGACCACCAAACACACTCTCAATTTGCTTGCCAATTTTGGGCGAGAATGGATATTGGTATTTATTTTTCTTCCAATATTTTTTGAATGGTGAACAATATAAAAATATAATTAAAGATTCATATTGTTTTTAAATTTTTAGACCACTATGATAAATAACCTTCTCCTATTGGTTAGAAAATACATAAGAAATCTTATGTTGCACAGATTTAAAACATTTTTTTAGAATTTTAACGAGAGAGAAATAAGATTGCATAAATCCTGTGAACTGAATTTAAATGACTTTATTATTGTTGATATTTAATTACCAAGCTTATAATTAATAAATCATAAATCATAATAAACTACTTAAATTACAAAAAATATTAACTACAATAAAGTTATAATAATGCATCATTCTCTTAAAAGAAAATGCGTGTAATGTGGCTGTTAACATATAAGTAATTTGCTCAAATATCATACCAATAATACTAAACAAAATTAAATCTCTTAAGCAAATCATTTGGATTATGGCAAAGCACATGCGATATCTGCTAATGGATGGCAGATAAATCTGCTAAGGATGGTTTGTTTACGAAGGACATATTTCAAGCAAAACTGAGTAAACAGTAATTTATGTTACAGACAGGAAAAATTCTTTTAGACCAATTTTTAGTTAAGAAAATATAAGAATTTAAAAAAAAAAAATTCACAACAAATTTAGATACCTGCAATAAATATATGCATTTCAGTTTAAAATGCACATTTTATACAGTAGTGCATATATTTGTAAATTTTGACCTGTTCATTTCAAAATTATCCCTGTATACCAAAGAAATGTGAACTTTAAAATAAAGGGTTGATAAATAAATTTTTATAATTTATTTTTAAAATGCAATACTTATGATTCCTAAGATTAAATGTCAAATTTAATTATAAATATATATGCATAAATATTTTCACACAAACACATACATACATACACATAAACACACACACACATATATATATATTCAGGTTCAGAAATTTCAAATTAAGATGATATATACTACTAAAGTTATGCTATATGCTACAAAATTGCAGCATACTGCGGTGGTGGTGGGGTGGATTTTAAAGGATGGTCAGATCAGTAAAAACAAGTTTGAGGAAAGCAACTGGAAGATCTTCAATGACCGTAAAAGACTCAGAGACTATTTGGATCAAAAGTGAGGGAGTTATAATTTAGAGACCTTTAACGTATACCTATACAAAGCCAAAGGAGCCATTACTCTTAATACCTGCATATTTCTTACTTGACAGAAGAATTTTGAGTTTACCTTATCTAAAACTGAGCATATCAGACTTTTCAAACAAGGATATTTAATTGTAATGGTTTAGTACATTTATTCTAGAAGAGGTGGATAAGTGAATATCTCATGAACCTACATTCACCACAAACAGTACAGAACTTAAAAGAAATAAAAAATTTCAAAATTAATTAACTGATGTTGATAGGTGATGAATATTTTCCATGAAGTATCTGGAAAACAGGTAAGATAAATGAAGCTTTCCCCGGCCATGAAGGAGAGGTAAGAGCTTATAATATTAAAATTAAAGATGGGACAATTTGGAGACCAGTCCAACTCCTGTACTCATTTGAAATAGAAATACAAGTATTAAAAAACTATACTTTAAAAAGTCTGTGATTAAGTTAACAAAATTTATTATTATCATTGTTAATTTGTTACTGAATATTTGAATCATTTAGTATTATAATTTCGTATTTATTATATATACGAATATCATCATTTACATTTAATATTTATTATACATAAATTTAATGTAGTGCTTTTATGCTTATAAATATTTTGCAAAATTTAAATGAAGATATTTAGCAAAACTTTGTATAATTTGATATTCATCAGATTAAGCTTTAAAATTTATTAGATTTATGCAATAATTAGAAGATTATTCCTGTGACACTAGAATGAATGAAAATATAAGTTATGATGAACCTAGTTCATCTCCAGGGAAGATGTGTAGAGAATTTTTTATGTCGATGGCCCTATGTACAGACTATGTTTTTTATGTTTTTATTAGTGGAGAAGAAGTTGCTAGCCTGCAATGACAGAAATTGCTTATCTCAAAATAAATGTTTTTATTTTTTATGTGTGTGAGAATCAAGCTTCATATATG